CACTCTATATATTTTATTTTAGATCTACTCAATCGAAAACCTTTAGAGTCTAAGGTTCATCTCCATAATTCAAGTTTACCTTCAACTCCCTCTCTAGTCCTATCAACAAGTAGAATATCATCAGTAAAAAGCATAAACTAAGATACATCCTCTTGCAAATGTATAGTGAGAACATCCATGACTAATGCAAAAAGATATGGGCTTAAGGTTGATTCTTGATGTAACCCAATCGAAATAGGGAAATACTTGGTCAAACCACGTTGTGTTTGAACACAAGTAATAGCTCATGCATACATATCTTTAATGATTTGAATATAAGCATTATTAACTCCTTTATTTTCAAGAACTCTCCATAGCACTTCTCTTGAAACTTTATCATATATATATTTTTTTCTAAATCAATAAATATCATATGTAGATCATATTTATTTTCTCTATATTTCTCCATCAAACCTCTTAATAAATGTATGGCTTCCATAGTCGACCAACCCGGCATGAATCCAAATTGATTTTCTTAGAAACATTAGTATCACGCCAAAATCTATGCTCAATAACTCGCTCTCATAGTTTTGAAGTATGACATATTAACTTAATTCCTCTATAATTCACACAATATTGTGCATCACCTTTATTCTTAAAAATAAGAATTAATACACTCATTCTCCACTCATCTAGCATCTTTTTAGTCTTCAAAGTAGTATTAAAAAGTTTAGTAAACTAAGAAATTCCTTCATCTCCTAAGCATTTTCACACCTCTATTGTAATATAATCAGGTCCAACAGCTTTTTCACACTGCATTTTCTTTAAAGCTTCTCTAACTTCAGTTTTACTAATATGCCGATAAAAACATAAATCTTTATTTTTATTTAGGGTGTTAAGGTCAATACAGTCAATCGTATTTTCACATTCTTTATTAAAAAGTTGGAAAAATATATCATCCACTTTTGTTGAATATCATCTTATAAGAAAAGTACTTTTTGATCTTCATCCTTAATACACTTCACTTGAACTAAATCATTACTACTTCTATATCTTTGTTTAGCTAACTTATATACATATCTTTCTCCATTCTTAGTATCTAATCTATTATATAAATCACTAAAAGCTAAGATCTTTGCATCACATATTGCTTTCTTAGCTTTTATATCTTTCCCAATTATCAGAGTTTTTAGAATTAAACCAATTTTTATAACAAATCTTCTTATTTTTAATCTTATCTTGTACATTTGGATTCCACCACCAACTATTTTTACTATTAGGAGCTTTTCCCTTTGAAACTCCAAACACATCTTTTACAATATTCTTAATATTACTAGTCATTTTTTTCTACATAATATTAGCACCCACATGCACATACAAAATCTTAAGATCTAAAATCTTACTCATAAAAATATTTTTGTTAATATTTTTTAAATGCCCCCATCTAATCTTAGAACATCGTTTTACTTTATTTTTTATTTTCTGTCCATTTATCTTAAATTCTTAAATTAATAATCGATGTTGAGTACATAAATTTTCACTCAGAATAATTTTACAATCTTTGTAATATAAATGATCTAATTTTCTTATAAGAAAATAATCAATCTGAGTTATACTATATCCATTTTTATAAGTGATGAGATGCTCATTCATTTTTTTAAATAAAATATTAGCAATTAAAAAATTATAAGCTAAATAAAAATCTAATAAGGTCTTGCCATCTTCATTTATCGTTTCAAACCCATGACCACCATGAATATTTTTAAAATCATCTATATCTCTACCAACATGTCCATTTAAATCTCCTCCAATAAAAACTCTTTCGTCAAGAGATATTTTTTGTATTAATTCTTCTAAGTCATTCAAAAAAATTAATTTTGAACTCTTATCCAAACATACTTGAGGAGCATAAACACTTATAATATTGACAATCTTAGTATCAACAATAATCTTTAAATATATAATTTTATCTCTAATTCTATTAATTTTTATTACATTATTCTTCAAATTCTTATCTATAATTACACCTACACCATTTCTAGTACGACTCATACCTGAATACAAAAGTTTAAATCCTAAACTATCAATCTCCTTAGTCTTCTCTCAAACCCATTTAGTTTCCTGAATGCACATAATATTTAACTTCCTATAAATCATAATATATATTAATTCCATTAATTTTCCTATAAGGGAACCTATATTCCAAGTTTATATCCTAATTTTAGTTTCATGGACTAGCTTCATTGCCCACATCCATCCTTGATGTGGGAACCCTTGCTTATTTAACACTGCGTCAAGGAACCGATGCAGCGGTTCTTGTACACTTGTCACTATATTCAGCCTATACAGCACGTCGTTTTCAGGGGGCGCCCTAGCATTAACATAATTTCTTAAATGATTCATGTCATTATTATTCGACAAGTTTTACGTTGGCTGTCGACTACCTAATGCAACCCTCCACTTTTCTCATCCAGGACTTGGGACCTAACAACAACAATGTTCTTCACACATGTTGATTGCTAAAGGAATAGAAACCCACAATGATAGAGTAGACCACATCTCTAAACAACACTGATGAAAGAGTCATCAGGCAATAATGACATAGATTATGTTGTTTTTCTCATTATATCATTGGACGTCATTTGAGCTTAAGATGGTTGTATGGGTGACATATTTATCATCAATTTTGACGAGAGGTCTGATTATGTTGATTTTATCATTATATCTTTGAACATCATTTGATCATAAGTTGGTTTTATGGGTGACATGATCATTATCAATATTAATAAGAGGTATGATATTATATTAGAAGCTTGGCAAGCAATTAATCCTTATCAGCATACATTTACATCAAAAGTTATTGTAGTGAAAAACAAGATGATATTTGGTGAGAGTGATAAGTATCATTAATGATAAGAAGCTTTTTTCAGGACCAAGAGTTATAAGGAAATAAATTATTTAATGAATTGAAATCGAACCCTATTGATAAGTTTATGAAATATTATTTTAGTGCTTATCTAAGTTCATATTATGTTTATCTATTTTGAATGATGGATGTAATATATTGTAATTCTGATATTGGGGACGCAGTTCCACACACTGATCACAAACTACGATCGGTAAGAATTTTAATAGATTTTTATTAATTTATTTAGTCGTGAATACTAATCTAAGTTTATTGTAGAGAAAGTTATTAGGTAGAGAATCCACTAATGTTGAGTTGCACACTTGCATCCACAAGCGTCAGGAAGAGCAGTAGTGGGTGGACAAGCGAGCAAGGAGAGCTTATGTTACTTTATAAGTTTACAATATTAAGAGAAATATTTTAAGTGACAATCATACAATGATTAATCTTATTTTATCTTTTGTAGGGTGAGTATAAACGACTTCGAGAGAGCCAATCTGAAGTTGGTGAGGGATCCCTTGGTGAATAAATAGATTATTCCGACTATTGTCTATGGATTTTTTTGCTAGAATGTCCAGGGAATTACCAACAGAAAAATTCACTGGTAATTTGTCTGCCAGTAATTATTTAAAAATTTCCAGCGAAAAATTCTACATATTTCTGCAAAAAATTCCAACGGATTTGCCAATAATGATTCTAGAAATCTTTGTTTTTCCAATCCTAAATTCATCAGCAATCCATCAAAAATCTGATGCCCGATCGAAATACCGACTGATTTTAATCCGTCAGAAATCCACTGGTATTGCTAATTCCCTATGAATTTTAAAGGTCGGAAATTACTACATTTCCAGCGGTGTCAAATCATACATCATGCTAAATGAAATCCTGCTCTTGACTGAATGGAAATGAATTAGCAAAAATTTTCTCATAAAAATTTGAGAAAATCAAAATAGAACCAAATATAAGATTTTATTTAATTCTTCTAGTGAAGCATCAGCTTAGGATTTAATAGCAATAGGTGTAAATCTCAAAATTAATTTTTTTTTAAAGTTTGATGGATGTCCCCTTAACAAACATAATTGCTCTTTGCCTTTTCCTTGCATGATTGGATAGTTTTAAAAGCATGAATTCTTAATGGTGTTAGGGCATCTCCAACCGAAAACTTCATTTTTCACGGCAAAGTAACGCAAAAACTCCAAAATGGTGCGGGATGCTCCAATCGAACGCCATTTTAGGTGTTTTTGAGAAGGTAACGATCGCTCTCCCTTTCGCGCGTTTTTCGGGTTGGCGTCGCACTGTTCACCTGCGATTAAATGGCGAAAATTTTGGAGTTCGGTTGGAGCGAGGGAACGACTCCATACAGTCGTTTAGCGTTCGGTTGGAGATGCCCTTAGTCAACTTCTACAATTAACTCCTTGGAGCATGAACACTCTATAGATTGCTTTGAAGTTATCAAGATTTAGTTCCAGAATTTTATTTTCTTTAATGATAGTCAATAAATTAAAAAGTATGCTGCTTAGATTAGTGATTTTACAAAAATAATTTTTTTCTTCAATCATTTCACCGAATTTCACCGAATTAAAGAATATTAAAATTTTTCTGAGACGTTTAGATCAATTAAGACAAGTTCATACACACATCAAATATATAAAATTCAAATCCAACAATTTTTTAGTACCCACCGAGGCTTAGGGTGGTTGGTGGATGAGCACGGTTGTGAATCCTCATCCCGGGTTCGATTACTCTCTACTACAGCCTCGTCTCTTTACTGAGGCAACACAAATGTGGGTCCGATGCCGGTTGGTGGCCTCGCTAGCTTCCGCCAATGGATTAGTTACGCCGCCAAATGCTTTCTTTGAAGTGGCAGCTGATAGATATTATTTAAAAAAAAATAGTTGATTGCTAAAACGCCTGACTAACATGACTAAAATGAGCTGCGTGTAAATCAATTTCTAACTCTTATCAATCTATAATCAAACTAAAATAGCTAAATTTATCCACAATCAAAATCAAATTCAGCCCAACTATAATTACACCCATTTAATCGGCTTTAAATGAAGTTATGAGATTGTATCATCCAATCATGCGACGAAAAGCGGCATTTTTCTGGCTATGGTAACTAGTCTAGAAGAAAACAGAAGCAGCCCAAATTCAACGGAGTGGAGCTGGCGAGCTATTGCACATCACAGCCTACCCCAAAGGGAAGCCACTGGTAGCGTCACCATCAGTCAAAACAAAGCGCAAGAGGTTCATCCTCTCGATTCTGAGATTTTTCTCAATCCCACTTCTTATTCCGTTCTTCCTCCTCGAATCGAAGCTCAAGTTGCTAACTTGCTCGGTGGACTCGCCGGCGAGGAGCTTCCCATGTAGCCTTCAGACCCGAGCTTTCGATCCCTCGCCGCTTCTTGGTAAGCGGAAGCTCTGTTCTTTTCTCTTTCCTTCGCAATTTGTTCTCTCTTCTCTTCTGCTGCTTTCCTCCTCTGTTGCTGAATAGGGGCTTTTTTTATTCGTCTGAATCGTTTTGATGAAGGTTTTAATTCGTCTATCTTTTTAGTGCTTTCTTTTTAATTTCCTGAGCTTCCTCTACGAATCTGGCTGAAGGCTTCTATTTGAGTCCGGCAATGGATTTGTTAGCTGCAAACGGTTCTGGATTTTTCGTGAGGGACTGCTTTTCCGAGCATATAATGTATTTTATTTCATAGCTTCTTGGATTGGTGGATCGATTGGCTTTCTTTGCCTTCTGTCAACCTAATTCCTTTTTAATTATTATTTGGAATCTCTACTCTATGTCAAGTATCGTAATTTGAGCTGTGTTCTTTGTTTAGTTCGAAGCCTATTTCCACAATCTTAAAACAAAGATACGGCCTGCCTAAGTAGTTCTTACCTTCAGAGAAAGTTATTAGTTTTCTCTTTCTTTAACCGGCTTTTGCTTTGCTAAGAAGGAATTTCTTTGGCAAACGAGACTGAGTACCAGAAGGCGCCAGCTAGAGCTTCGGAGATGTTGGAGAAGGTGAAGGGATTCAATGGAGACCGTGTGATAGAGGAGTTTGAAGCATTAACAAAGGAAGCTGAGAGGGTTCAAAGAGAGACCCTTCAGAGGATTCTCGAAGAGAACGGTGCAGCAGAATACTTGCAGAATTTGGGGCTTGGAGGAAAAACTGACCCAGATAGCTTCAAGGCATGCGTTCCTTTGGTGACTCACAAGGATCTGGAGCCTTATATACAGAGAATTGCAGATGGAGATGCCTTACCAATCCTCACTGGGAGGCCAATAAAATCGATTTCTTTGAGGTTTGTGTTGCTATTTTTATTTTTATTATTATTTGCGCTTGTTATGCTTCGGATCCTGACTGGTTGGAAGCTTTTGTTTATCCCTTGCAGCTCTGGTACAACACAAGGGAAACCAAAACTTGTTCCTTTTAATGAGGAATTAGAGCAGTCCACAATGGGCATATATCGGACTTCTTTTGCTTTCAGGAATAGGTTGGTTCTTCAATCTCTTAGGCCATCTCCAACTGAAAAACTTATTTTTCACTCCAAAATGCAGTAATTTGTCTCCAACCGAAGTCTATTTTCTAACAAAAAAAAATATTTTATGTATATTCTTCTCATACTTTATTTTATATTTATTTTTAATCAGATATTTATATTTATCATTTTTTTAAATTAGACATACTTATATATATATATATATATATATAAAAAAAATTAGGCCACCATTTTTTCGCTTGCAATAATACCTAATTTTTGGATTTAAAAAAAAATTAGTGTGTGTGAACTCCTGGAAACTAGCGGGATTTCTGGCGTTCGGTTGGATTGTTAGCGGACGACATATGTCTGTCTAGCGTTCGGTTGCGGATGGTCTTAGCACCTATTGGTCCCTCTATTTGCACTAATTGGATAACAGCAAAATTATCAATATCTTTGAACTAATCTCAGTGCAAATAGATGACTTTGAAGTCTACCCTTTTGCATCAACATATCCTTACTCATAAATTGATGGCGTGATGTCGCCATGTTACTTTCTAATCACTTTAATTCGTTAGTGGTATTGTTCAATCCTGCTGTCACATCCCTTAGTGCTCATTCCTAAATTTGATTGCATTAACTCTTTGGTGCTCCTGGCTATTTCTTAGTGGGCTTATCAACCAAATTTAACTTTATATTTGTGGAGGGCTATCATCTCTCTGATTGCTCTTGGTGATGTTATGAATAAGGCTTCGTTTGGGATGACTTTTTTACTGCTTCTTAAATCAGTTTTTTAATACAAAAATTAAAAATTTTGTGCTAGAAAGCTACTTTAAGAAACAATAAAAAAACCGTTCCAAACGAAATCTAAGACATCAACTAATGTGATATTCTTGCTTTGTTGCTCTCCAAATGTGTCCAATTTAATATTCAACTTTTAAAGTTTCCTGTCATCTTTTTTTATGAAAATCATAGAGGCTACTGTTTGTTCTAACTGTTTTTCTTCAAATATGAATTTCCCATTTGAACTCTGTAGAGCACATCCTATAGGGAATGGAAAAGCCTTACAATTCATTTACAGCAGCAAGCAGTTCAGAACAAAAGGTGGCCTTTTAGCTACCACTGCCACTACAAATGTGTACCTAAGCCAGTCATACAGAAACACCATGAAAGACATTCAATCTCAGTGCTGCAGTCCTGAAGAAGTTATTTTCAGCCTTGATTACAATCAATCATTGTACTGCCACCTTTTATGTGGTTTGATATGCTCTGAAGAAGTTCAGTTTGTGTTCTCCACATTTGCCCACAGCATTGTTCATGCATTTCGAACATTCGAACAAGTATGGGAAGACCTTTGCTGTGATATAAGAGAGGGAGTTCTGTCCAGTAGAATCACAATTCCTTCTATCCGTAGTGCTGTTTCTAGGCTTCTACGCCCAAATCCTCAACTGGCAGACACCATTTACAGTAAATGTGTAAGCTTGAGTAGCTGGTATGGCTTAATTCCGGAGCTTTGGCCAAATGCGAAATATGTCTATGGAATCATGACAGGATCAATGGAGCCTTACTTGAGTAAACTAAGGCACTATGCGGCGAACTTGCCTCTGATGAGTGCTGATTATGGGTCTTCAGAAGGTTGGATTGGTGCTAATATTGATCCAGAAGAACCGCCGGAATCCGCTACCTTTACCGTTCTTCCCAACATTGGGTATTTTGAATTTATACCTCTAAAGGAAAGAGGGCATGAGCAGAAGGTAGAGAATTGCGCTTCGATTATCAGGCATAGAGAGCCAGAGCCCATTGGACTGACTGAAGTTAATGTTGGTGAAGAGTATGAAGTAATTATCACTACTTTTGCAGGTACCAAGCTTTTTTTTTTTTTTTGGTTTTCTGTCCCTTTTTATCTTGTTTATTCAGTTCTCTTGATAGAAGACTGCAATAACGAACTGAGGACTTACCATGAAGTACATGTAACTAAAAGTCAAATGCTTGAGGACTTACCATTTAAAATTGTAATTGCATCTGATTCCCTTCAATCTTTGATCTGCCATGAATAGTTAAATTTTCTCATCTAACCAGTTCAATGATTTTCAACCAACCTTGTGCAAACAAGTTACAAGTATGAGGACAACTAAACCTGGTCAAACTAATTATATTTTTGCATTATCTTCCATCTGCGCATTCCAATATAATTTAGCAGTAGATTGACTTCTGGATACCTACTGGGTTATAAAGATTGTTTACTTGACTTAGTTAGTGGTTTAGTGGCCACTAAACTTAATTAAATTATAGCTTTGCACCTACCTCATAAAGATAGTGGATTAATTAGGGGTCAGTGATCTTCCAGTTTCCACTAGGTAAAAGCATGTGGCCTACTTGCAACAACAACAACAACAACAACATCAAACCTTTATCCCACTATGTGGGGTCGGCTAGATGAATCTTTTTTCTCCATTGTTAACTATTAAAAGTAAAATTCTCGTTTAAATCTAATAAAGAAAGTTCAATTCTAATATTTTCTAACCAAGTCTTTTTAGGTCTGTCTCAATCTTTCTTAACATAAGTCAAATATAATACCTTTACTTTCCTAATCGGGTCATCGGAAGGCCGCCGTTTTATGTGACCAAATCATCTAATGCAACTCTCTCTAATCTTATCTTCTATTGGAGCTACTCCAACCTTTTCACGTATGTGCTCATTTCATATCCTATCTCTAAGGGTAAAGCCACTCATCCACCGAAGTATCCTCATCTCTGCCACACTTAACTAAGTATTATGCTTCTCTTTTAATGGCCAACATTCGGCACCATAAAGCATTGCTGGCCTCACGACTATCTTATAGAATTTTCACTTAAATTTGAGGGGTAATTTTCTATCACACAACAAAATGAGCATATTTGCTGCATGTTAAGCAGTTCCTTTGTGTACTCACTCCCTGTTTCTTCTAGCTTCAACAATTTTATTGTTTCCTTGATATCTGGAATCATGAATGATCTATCTGCTATATTACCAATGAAATAAATGTCTTCTGCTTTACAAATCTTGCAGGTTTATACCGTTACAGACTGGGTGATGTTGTGAAGATAGCTGGCTTTCACAACTCAACACCAAAACTCCAGTTTGTTCACAGAAGAAACCTCATTCTAACTGTCAACATTGACAAGAACACTGAGAAAGACCTTCAGTTGGCAGTTGAAGAGGCGAGCAAGCTCTTGGCAGTAGAGAAGGTTGAGGTCCTGGACTTTACTAGCCATGTCGATATGTCAACTGATCCTGGTCACTATGTCATCTTCTGGGAGCTCAGCAGCAATGCTAGGGAGGAGGTTCTCAGTAACTGCTGTGATTGCTTGGACCGTGCCTTCATCGATGCAGGCTATGTTGGTTCGAGGAAGGTTCGAGCAATCGGCCCTCTCGAGCTTCGCATTGTGAACAGCGGCACCTTCCATAAGATTCTAGAACATTATGTCTCTCTTGGTGCAGCATTGAACCAATTCAAAACACCAAGATGCGTTGGCCTGTCGAACTGCAGCGTGCTTCAGATTCTTAATAGTAGTGTGCTTAAGAGCATCTTCAGCAATGCATATTGTTGAGAGCATAAATAGAATAAGCAACTGTTTCAGCTTTATTATGGTGGTGGTATAGCCTGTCTTAGACTTCGTTTGGGACGGCTTTCTTTCTGCTTCTTAAAGCACCTTTTTAATACAAAAATTAAAATTTGTGTACTAAAATGCTGCTTTAAGAAGCAACAAAAAAACCGTCCCAAATGAAGCCTTAGCTTTGCTGATCTTTTGCTTTCTAATGTTATGCAAGAGTTGTAATTTCTGTAATCTTCCCTGTGTAAGTGATCTATCAAAGGAATGCAAGCAGAGAAGTTTGGAATCCAGCACAATAGAGTTGTAATTTTCTGGTATGAGCTTTCTTTGTAACTGGATTTGATTAACATCTCCATTTAAGGGGTTTTCCTTTGACTGAAATTTAAGCTCTCTCTTCCTTTCTAATGTTTGGACTTGATCTATTTCTCTAGTAAAGTATTTATATCTTTGTATGATTAACATTGGATTCAATATCTTCTTAGGTGTGGTGAGCATGGATATGCCAAATATAATCTACAAAATCATGAAGTTTTCTAGAGACATAGAAAGGTCATTGCACAATAACTGACCTAATGACTACATGGCCTATTGCATAACATGAATGACTTTCTTAGGAGGATGATCCTAACTAACTTCGAGAACTTTTCTCAAATTGCTACTCTTGTCTGTTTCCTTCGAGAAAGCAAGTAAATCATCTCTATAAGGTGTTGATGTCACCTCAGTTCTTGTTTGATTGGGGCTATTTGGTTTGCTGCATTAGGAGCATAATGTATTTCAAATACAAGGATTGTGAAAATATTGATACTTGATTTGAAGCCAAAAAAATACTTAGTAAATTTTGAAGTAAAGGGAATTCACTTTGTATTTCAAATCCAATGTATTTGGATTTTTTTTTTTTTTTCAGATTTGAACGATTTTCAAGTACATTGGAAACTCACCACTATTGCCACCATTGGTTGCCTCCTCTGCCGCCTCCAACCAACCTACCACCACTGACCACCGGTCACTCCGCCACTCTCATGTCTAGAATCTAATGTAGAAGAATTGTTTATTTTATTTTTTCAATCATCTATCAAAGTTTTTATAAATTATCAATATAAATTAATATTTAGCGAATGCAATTTAAATATCATATACATTGAAACATTTCAATATATTTATTCTCCCAAAACACATTTATAATAACCACGAGATCACTAACAATCAATGATTTCTTAATAGCTCCTCACTACAAAAGAATATAAACAAATATAGAACAAAATCAAAAGGAGAACCTAATGATCTTAAATAGTCTCACTACACATGGTTATGATCTCTTCTCTGATTTAAAATAAATAAAATCACATAATGAGCTTAAAAGTTTAACAAAATCTATAACTCGCTAATGCTTTCAATACAAGATATAATAAATCAATAGAATCAATAACATTCAATATCATCAATGCTCAATCATCACTGATACGATTCAATCTGATCAAACAAAAAGTAAAAATTATCACGCTTAAATTCACAAATCAACAACAGAGGCAAAAATGTAAATACATCTAAAATCAAATTAATGATTATTAAGTCCGGTTTGTAGCGTGAACATGCAAGTGTCAATGTCATCAATCTTGTCTATATTATTAATTATCTATGATATAAATCAATACATGTAATCATTCATATGCTATCATATCTATCAATGCCATCTATCAATGGTATCAATGCATGTAAGCATCAGTATATGATGTAGTATATGATTCAATAAGATAGGATATTCAACTTTAATGTGATAATTTTATTCTTTCATATGTATTCATTGCATCATTATATCGTCTATATTATAATTATCTTTATCTTTATTAGTATATGTAGAATATGATAAAGTTCCAATAGAAGTGATATGGAGAGTTCTTGAATAGAAAGGAGTTAATAACGCTTATATTCAAATCATTAAAGATATGTATGGATGAGCTATTACTTGTGTTCAAACACAAGGTGGTTTTACCAAGTATTTTCTTATTTCGGTTGGATTACATCAAAGATCAACCTTAAGGCCATATCTTTTTGCTTTAGTCATGGATGTTCTCACTAGACATTTGCAAGAGGATGTACCTTGATGTATGCTTTTTGCTGATGATATTCATCTTGTCGATAAGACTAGAGAGGGAGTTGAAGGTAAACTTCAATTATGGAGGTCAATTTTAGAGTCTAAAGGTTTTCACTTGAGTAGATCTAAAACTGAATATATGGAGTGTAATTTTAGTATCAATAGACCTAGTGAGGGGATTGTGGCTTTGGGCAATTAAGTCATTAATGAGAGTACACATTTTAGATATCTTGGATCTATTGTTCAGAGTGATGGTGAAATAGATGGGAATATTATCAACATAATTCAAGTTGGATGGTTGAAGTGGAGGAATGCTTCGGGCTTGTTGTGTGATAGAAAGTCAGCCCTCAAACTTAAGGGAAAATTCTATAACATTGTGGTGAGACCTGCAATGCTTTATGGTGCCGAATGTTGGCCATTAAAAGAGAAGCATAATATTAAGTTAAGTGTTGCAGAGATGAGGATGCTTAGGTGGATGAGTGGCTTTACCCTTAGAGATAGGATACACAATGAGCATATACGTGAAAAGGTTGGAGTAGCTCCAGTGGAAGATAAGATTAGAGAGAGTCGCCTTAGATGGTTTGGCCACATTAAACGAAGAGCTTCCGATGATTATGTTAGGAAAGTTGAGGTATTATGTTTGACTTATATTAAGAAATGTAGAGGTAGACCTAAAAAACCTTGGTTAGAAAATATTAGAAATGATATTTCTTTATTAGATTTAAGTGAGAATTTGAATTTTAACATGACACAAAGGCGAAAAAGGATTCATGTAGCCGACCCCACGTAGTATGACAAAGGCTTGTTGTTGTTGTTATTTATATGTAGATTATAATAAATCATTAAGAGTCGTCACAATCTATTCATCGGCGTAATTAGTCATTAGTTACATGCAAAAATTGGGATAACACCACAAACTATCTTTAAAAGAAAGCCTATCGTCCCACTTTCCTATGTAGGGAATTATATTTTAACAACCAATCTGTGCTAATTATAGTGTAAACAGCTAACCTTCCTGCTTAGATGTAAATATTATATTTATTTCATATCCGTTGTATAAATCTTTTTTAAATATATGAAATGCAATATGACATACTTAAATCTATAAAATACATAAAAATTTATATATTAGTCTATAGCTTTAGCTTCAAAAAACATAAATTCTATTTTACTTGATAAAATTCAATAATATTATAGTCAAAATTATCAAAAAATATGTATATCATATATGAAAAGTTACATTATAAAAGTGTAATAATCAAGAGAAAAAAATATTTTTATCTATTTAGGAGAGATTAAATTCATCAAATTCAAAATTATTGAAAACTAAAATGAGATTTAGGTTACTATGATCATAAGATTTTTCCTAATTGAAGCAACATATGAAAATGAACAAAATCGACGTTCTATCTCTTCCTTCTATCCTCTTTCTCTCCCTTTCCCTCTCTTCTTCCACGAAAAGGCATGAGAGAATTAAGGAGGCGGCGGCGTTGGGTTGTTTAGTGCTTAGGATTTAGAATAAAAAATATATAAAAATATCGTTAGTGGTCTAGGTCGTATGCTCTAACTTAGCATCACAATGTCGCATGTTGACTCCATAATTATTGTAGAATAGAGATTGTAATGCCACAGTGGCTATTTCTAGCATCGTTGTTCCCTCAAGCTTAGTGCTGAAATGCTTCGAAGCACAACACCAAAGTGCTCTAGTTCAAACATAAACTCAAAATTTTATTTTAAAACACTTTTTTCATATTTGGGTTGCTACAGCCACCACTAGTTGTCACTAGTCACCTCACTAAAGCCGACAGCCATGGGCCACCCCCGTCATCACAGGCCACAGTCGACCACCCCTTGCCACTGTTTGCTTCCCCCGCCACTGCTAGCCACCCCACTAGAGCTAGCTGCTGCTGGCCATTCCCACTTCTCCCAGCATTGCTGGCCACCCTATAGCTGTCGGAAACCCTCCCCATTATTGGCTGCCACTCGTTATATGCCCATACTGCCACCAGCCACCTATATTGCTGCCGGTTGCCACTACATTCAATTTACTTCAGGACAAAAAAAAAAGTAAAAACTTGTATTTACTTCACACTAAACCAAATAACTCTAATGTATTTCAAATACATTGCAATCCTATTACATTACATTCCTTTGGCAATGCATTCTTGTTTTAGGCAACCAAATAGCCCTTTATTCTCTTCCTAATAATGAGCCTTACCTCCTGTAGTAGGAGAGTATGATAGAGACTCCTCCAACTTGTACCCCAACAAAGCATTAAGCTTAGCATACAAGCACTTTTCAGTACAAATCACAAAAACGTAGTTGTCACATAAATTCAAGATGTTAGTTTTGGATTCCCATAAGGGAAAAAGTTGGACATGACCATTCATGTTGCTCATTTCAAGTAGAAACCCTCTCTCTTTATCATCACAAGTAAGGTAAAGTGCTCCTTTTCACCATTTTTAAGGAGGTGCCAATATAGTGGCTCTCTTATATTCATTTTGGGAGCATTATGTCCTTTTATGACTTCAATAGATAATTCATCAAACAATTCATTTGAGGAGAATTCTTCCTTATTCTATTCTTTTTTATGTTTAATCTCAAGAGTTTTATGGATTATTTTTGTTAAATCATGAAGAATTAACTTTATTTTAGTATTAATAATGTAATTATGACATGTTTTCAATTAAATAAGTTTAATTTATTGAATTTTAATGTGTGGTTGTTTGATTTACTTTATGCTTCATTGATTGTTTAAATGACCATGAATCTACTTCAAAACTTTTATTATTATTGATATAAATAAGTCATTAATGACATCATAAAAGATAAATTAGCAACTAGTTGGGGTGGGAATATACTTAATTAGGGTTTTCAATATTATAAGAATGTAACATAATGTAATCTTTTAAGTTGATTCATATAGAAATATAGTGAATTAGTTAAACTGATTTGGTTTTCTAATTATTAGAAGAGATTAAAAGAAAAACTTAGTTTTTTTGTCAATATATCTATTTAATAGTGAAATCAAATAAAAATATTAGAACAAGTATGTTTTGATGAAACCACAAATCCATATTAACACTTCAAAACATTAAGTTTAGTTCATAGAAGTAGATATTAAAAATATTTATCAAATTAATGAATAAAAATAATAATAATCTAAATCAAAAATTAATTTTGAGAAGTAATTTCTTCATCCTCATGAGGATAATTTTCTACGTATAATCATTGGGGGGGGGGGGCAATTGCCCACCCTCAAAAAATTTAAAATAAAATTATTTATATGATTTTTAAGGTAATTTATCCCTAT